AAGGTCATACGGAAGGTCAGCTGCTCTGGGACAGGCACGTCAACAACGGTCCCGCCTGGGGAAGTTACTCGAGCAGACCCCGGAGGAGAAGAAGGGCGAGAAGTCGGAGCGACTTCACGACGAGCAGGAGTCTGCGGATGAAGAGCCATGGAGGTAGCGCCAACAGGTGATCTCTGTGGAGTCGGACGGGGAGCCTTCCTTTTAGGCTCCCTCTTAGGCCGAGTCTGTTTCGAAGGCAAGGGGCGCCGGGGCGACCCAAAGTCAATCCGCTTCTCTTTCAGTGGTGAGCGACCCATGAGGAATTAGTAAGTTAAGAGAAGAACGGCCAAGGTCATTTATAGGTGCCAGGCCAGGCCGAGGAAATCAGAACGGTCCCGCGAGATCCGGGAGATAGCGAATAATCTGGGCCAATCCCGGGTCATTCAAGGCACGGATTCGGTAAGAAGGAGGCGGTTACTACTTTTCCAAACCCAGGTTGGCGGACTGGGTATGGAAAAGTGAGGGACTAGTTGATGGGGTAAGAACCCCGGCCCAAGAAAAGAGGCCCAGAAAGAGTGCATGGGCCGAGTCCTGGACTCGGCCCAGGTCCAAAGAGGGAGGCCCAGTTCAGAGCCCGGAAGGACGGCCCAATGCCAAACAGAGACGAGGAGTCGGCCCAGGCCCGGCCCAGGAGAGGACTCGGTCCAGAGAGCCGTTGAGGGAGCCTTCAAAGCAGTTAAGACAAGGAGCCGTTGAGGCATTAAAAGCCGGACTCGGTCCGCCAGTTACTAGCCAAAGAGAGCCGTTGGCAGAGTCCGTAACGTCGCCCAACGGCTCGGCACATTGAATGTAATCTTTAAGTCGGCCATCATGAGCCTTTAAGTCAGTAGAGGAGGAGCCACTATAAAAAGGGCTCCTCCACCCTTGTAAGAGGCAGATTGAGAAAACCCGGAGAGGGAATAGAGAGCACTATTGAGCATCATACTTCACTAAAATCTAGACTTTTTGTGAAAGGTGTATCCTCCAGCTTAAGGTTGTGTTGGACCTCCTTGGGCCCGAAAACCCAAAAACCATCATATACTAATATTGATAAATAATCAATATTTATCAAAATTTAAGTGTCTACATATGTAATTATTTTGTTCCCCGATCATACTAGTTACGCATTTTGTAGGGGTGTTTTGCTGGCATAATTGTGTACTGGTGTGATGGGTAGTTCGTTTAGGTGTTTGTTAAGGCCCTTTTTTATGTTCTCTGTTCAAGCTATTTCGATGGTGTATACTGTAATACAATTGCTGTCAATTCTATGTGTTAGTATGAGGGGTTTTTATGGTTTCACGCACAAACGCCTTTATTCATACGCATACACTTTATTTTTATATACATTCTTACTGCATTCTCTAGGGGGTTGCTGAATTACCTTTATTCAGTTTGGGATTGACGCAAGACCTGCCTACTCAATGTTGGGATGTGGTGGATGCAATTGTCCGTAATTATGATGGAGCCCCACCCACTATTGCATCTCGGGATTGTCGTTCTGCCCCTGCTGATGCAGTAAGTATTGTTCTGTAACGTAGATGAATCTTGGTTCATTATACCTTGTCGGTCATATTGTTACGTATACAACTCGTTGCTATTTTTTATTCATCCCTAATTTGCATTCTAATTTTTCCATCTTCCCGAGTTTTCTAGGTGCGTTCAACCAAACACCATCTCTCGTGTGCTCCCAAAGCTTCCTCGGCTGGGAAGGTCAATCACAGACTATTGGGTTTGAAACGTCCACGTGTGGTTGAAAGTAATGCGGGTCACGATGTATTTTCTACTCCCGAGGAGGTATTCATCTGTGACTTATTCACTTTTCACTTCTTCCAGTAAACTTCTTAAATCATATTTTGTATTTTTTCTTTTGTTCATTTTTGTAGCAAGTTGTTCCATTTGATCCACCTTTGGGCACTACTATTGGTCCACCAAACTGTCCGGCACCTTCTAAGTATTCACGTCCTAGGCCGATTAATGTCGGTGCATTGCGCACCATGGACTTGAATTCGTATGCACCCGTCACGCGTGCACGTGCAGTCAACAACCAGCCTTTGCGTAATTCGGAGTCACATGCAGCTTATAAATGGATTGCTAGTTCACTAAATGCTGACATGTACATTTAAGCGTTCTAATGAATTCCGTACATGGTTTTACGCATATCTGTATGCATATTTAATGGTGTTTTAATTTCAGGACTGTCGAATTATTCAATTTTTGCGGTCGATCCGCTCGTACGGAGGATCTTGTTTCACTGTTGGAAGGACATTCAGTTCTGGTGGGTGTTTTGAATGTTTGGGCATGCATTTTAAATTTTCGAGAAAGGTCTAAGCCGGTTGACGCTCCAAAACGGTTATTTGCATCACCCACAACCACGGTTCGTTGCTAGTCTCTTTGCAACCACAGGTTGGCACTGTAGTTAATTATTTCTTGTGCTTCCGAATTCATGTGTCTTACTCTGTGTGTGTAGTTGTATTCGGCTGTTCAAATTTCATCCTCTTGGTCGCAACGGTTGGGTTGGTTCAAGTCTGGGTTAGAGGCTGATTTGCAGGTATCGCCGTATAACTCGTGGGATGAAATTGACATGGTAAGTTTCTCTACTATACATAGTTTTTTCATTCACTCCTTCATGGGTGTACAAATTTTTTTTCGTTCACTCCTTCATGGGATTTAATTCTGCATATGTGTTGTTATTCTTCATATTTTTACACATGGCTTTCTAGAGTTTCTATTCCCAATTCTCGAGCATGGTCATTACTATGTGATATCGTTTGATCTACGCCGTTTGAGATTTGGTATTATAGATAACTCAGCCGTGGACGGGGCATCTTTGAAAAAATATGGGCCGACCCCTGAGGTGTTGGTATGTATATGGTCCAGTTGTACTATTTCGTAGTGGATTTTAATGTTATGGATTTAATAGTTACTTTCTGCCTTTTTTTTTTTTGACTTTTGGTTCTGTTTCTACAATTGGTGTAGAAGGACTTGTTATCTGTCCTTTTTGAGGATGCTGGGGCTCAACACCTCTATGTTAAGGCGTTGCACTTGATTCCTAGGAGACTCCGTATGTCATGGCGCGACACAAAAGATAAGTACGATTGTGGGGTGTTTGCTATGCGTCACTTAGAGACATATGTAGGCCAGTCGATGGCTTCATGGGATTGTAGATTAATTAGGGGGGATGCCCTGCTTAAATTACGTATGCGCTATGTTCATGAGATTCTTTTGTTTCCTAGCAACGTACATCGAGATTTGGTTGTCTCCAGTGTCGGGCGTTTTCGTTGAAGTTGTGGACGTGTTCTATCATGCTTTTTGTAGCGGCATGTTTTGATTTTTGAAGACATTTGACTCTTTGGATAGTTACCCGCGTGGATTATTTGTTTCGTTTTGAATGATATTTAGTTTGGTACATTATATAACGGTTTTAAGATTTTATATTCTATGAATAAAATGTTTTGAGTCCATATTACTGTCAGCGAATAATCTTTTTCAGTCCGTAGTACTTTTTTTTTTTTTTTACGGCCGTTATTGTTTTTTACGCACAATCCATCGCACCCTCACTCACAGACCTATGCTTTTGCACGCACAGAGCTGTGTTATTTTACGCACAAGCCATGTATCGTGCCCGCACAGACCTGTCCTAGCATGCACAGACCTTTGTCTTTACACGCACAGACCTATGTCTTTGCACGCACAGACCTATGTTATTTTACGCACAAGCCATGTATCGTGTTCGCACAGACCTGTCATTTGCATGCACAGACCTATGTCTTTGCACGCACAGAGTTGCGTTTTTTATGCACAAGCCATGTATCGTGTACGCACAGACCTGTCATTGCATGCGCAGAACTCCATCGTTTTTGTGATTTTGGTATGCATCTACTCATACCATTTTGTGCGGTTAGGAATACTGGAATCCGCAATTTGTCCTTGTTTTCGGCATACGGTATTTCCAATGATACTTGTTTTATTTCCAATGTTTTCATTAATATTTTGTTTTTACCTTTTTTTAATATTTTTACCAATCTACTAATATTATTTCTCACCCAGCTGCTCCCATATATGCATAGATCCCCGATCGCTACTAGTATGGTCCGCTATACTAAGAATTACTATATGCAATATAATAACACCCTTGAGCAATTTCTATGCTCAAACACCACCACAAATAAAATGGTTCAACACATTCTAGCCAGCTATTTCAACTTTAATAAAAATACCATTTCAAAATTAAATGTTATGTAGCACTGTCAAATATATCAAAACTAACAGAAATACCATCCGTATGTTACGTATCTAGTAATGTTATGTATCTAGTACATCGGCTTTACTTCTGTGGGCAGCTTCAGCTATTATGGCCAGCTGCCAACCCGCATGTCTTGCAAGTACGCTTCTTTTTTAATTGCTCAATAATTGCCACCTCCTTGGCTGATTTCATTCACTTGCCAGAACCTTTGGTCTTCGCAACTTCGGGGGGGGGGGGGTGCACTTTAATCGTGTCTGGCTCTGGAACTCCACAATATGCTTCCATAACTGCCCGTTTCGCGTTCCCTTTTGCCCTATTCACTTCTTTTTCGCACAGTGTTGCTTCCAATTCTTCAATCACATTTGTAATCTGTTGCATTTTTTCACCATTACCTCTAGCCATGCCTAAACATTTGTAAATTGTGTTTATAACTTTCCCTTCCACGGTGGTATTATGTCCGTTGTTGTTCGCCCATATTTGTCTCCCTACGCCCGTACCTTTTTCTATATTTTCACCGCCTCTTTGGTCCATCTTGGAGTAATATGTTGTGAAGGTATGTGGTCGATCCGTTCATCTTTTAATACTACAAATACATGTCGACAGAGTAGCCCGATCCTTGTGTATGATCGACATGTGCAACTTGTATTTTTGCTCCCATCCTCAACTATGACGGTGTATCTTTTATTGGTCCCGTCTTCGACCACATATGTCTTCACCCCCTCAGCTTCGATGTACGATCTCACCCGGCATGTAGACCAACCTCACATATTTCTTTTTGTACATCAGAGAACACAGTCAATGTGTACACCGTTGCTGCTTCTCGCTCTATGCGCAGGAGGGTCTTGAGAGGTGGTGTTTGCCCGGTGCAAGCTGCGCTAAGTTCCAGATGCTTGTCGCGTTGTTTCCGAACTGCACTTTCAAAACGTTTGAAGAATTCAACAAGACATAAATGCTTATTAGTATTACTCTGAAAAATTCTGTTCTCAGCTTCTGAACGTGAAGTGGTACGCAATAGGCCCCCCATAAACACATCTTCAAAAAACGGAGGCACCCATGATGCACGCTCATCATACATACGTTTCAACCAACGATTCTCCAGTAGGCCATACTTCTGAATAACTTCATTCCATGCGCTCTCAAATCCTATGGTCGTTGATTCCTCGTTCCACACAACGGCATTCAACGCACGCCGAAACTCCTCGTTCTTCGCTAATGTATTACCAACTTTGTCACCCACCTTAGTCATAATATGCCACATACAGTAACGGTGACGAGTCCCCGGGAATTCCGTTTCAATCGCAACATTCATAGCTGGATCTTGATCAGTTATTACGATAGGTGGTGTACTTCCCATAGCATTCTTGAAGTTTCTAAGGATCCAACTATACGATTCCACGTCCTCTTTATCAATTAGTCCCGCAGCAAATGTCACGCATCTCTTATGGTTGTCTATACCTGTGAATGGGACAAACACGAGATTGTACCTGCGACCACAAACAAGCATCAATTAACCACCATGCAAGTGTCACAACACCACACACATTGTTACTTGCACATACTCCTCAAATTCCATGCTCATCTAACAATTAATTTTTTATATTTCAGTTTCTAAATGCACTTCCACTGCCACGTTATATACAATGTGTACAGTTACTACATAACATGCACCATACATAACATGCACCATTACGCACAGACACATACCAAAGTAATACTGATTAAGATGCACCATATGTTATCACCGCAAAACTTGTAGGTATTCACTTTTTTTTTTTTTATATTTTTGATTGACGTGTTTACAAAAGCCTAGTAGTCATATGTACCTGTTAGTTTTGTATGTTGCGTCGAATGACACCACATCTCCAAAAGCCCCATAGTGCAGTCTTGCCCGCCTATCCGCCCAAAACACCCGAGCTAATTGGTCTTTCTCGTTCACATCGTACTCAAAATACATATCTACGCAATCATTTTTCTTCTCTACGTATTGGGATATCACCATCTGTATATCTTTCTCTTTCATGTACGCCAAAAGCTCTCGCCTGTAATTCTTGAAGTCTTGTTGCGTAGCTCCAACATTCTCGGGCCCACCAACCATTTCGGCATATATATCAAAACTCTTGCTAGCCCCAACGTTTACCTTTCCGCAGTTTGTTATGAATTCCTGATGTCCGATGTCTATTTTCCTATTCACTTTCATGAATCTTTTGTATTTCTCCTCGCACAGGACGTGTGTGTGTCTGTCTACAAATGTCTTTACTACATACTTCCCCTCTTTATTCAACGTCAATACAAGTCTAGCAGGGCATCCTACTCTGTTCGTCGTCCTCCGGCGCTTCTGTTTTGTTGTTTCTTCCTCGATTGTCTCTTTATTTTTTGTCTCTTTAAACCCTTCCCGTGAACATACCACTTGTTTTTTCTTAATTTGGCCGAATCTGTTTCTTTTATCGGAACTGCGACGCACATCAAATCCAACTATGCCAGCGTACGTCGTATAGAACGTGATCCCATCTTCCATTGTGTCGAATTCCTGTCCTTCAAATGGGTTCAAGCTTGCGTCACATTCAGGTATCCAAGTGTGCGTACCACCAGGCGACACATCCATAACACAAGTGCCTCCATTATCCATTTCTTCATTGCTTACAGCAACACCCACTCCTGGGAAAACTGTTACATATATATGTATTTTCAGAGTTTAGTACATGATACATTTTAACCCACACACACTTGTAAATTATGTTGCCGTTCGCACACAAATAAACACCGCGTTTCATACCCATTTAAATGATAATTCCTGTTTTCGATTACTATATAATTTTCTGCACCCTTAACACATTTCTTCACGATCATACCATCTTATGTTCTGGTTATTCTTGTTTAGGTAGTTTTAACGAATTCAACCCACATAATCGTTCATTACGCACAGACCAGACCTCACACTTGCACAGACACCACTCCTTCCTACCAATTGCCACACGGTTAACATAAGCTGTTCTCACTCATTAGATTGTTACCACATGCAAACACCCATTAATCTTTTCAATATACCAACACATGTATACATGTTGTTGGAATTTTTTTTAAACCTTCTGCCAAATAATGTACACATGCGGTGTTCATATACGAAAAGAACTTATAAACCACTTCACCTTACATTGCCAACATTTTACGCGGATTACGCGGATATTTCCTTTCGCAATTACAATTATTCTTACTGTTGATATCGTAACATACAATACACGCAATCACCTCATCAACTACTCGCACACACCACACAAACCACAAACACCCTTGCGTTACAGGCAGGCTACCCCATGGCTTTGTTTACGATGTTGCACATGCCATAACGTGCGCAAGCACTACATTTTCAAACAACCAAATTTAAAAACAGGAAAAACGGCACACATACCGGATGTCGCACACGCCATGCACACGAGCCCAACCAGTCTTCTCCCCCGTTTAAGCTTTGAATGCAGAAGCCACCTATGTCTTTTCTACTCTCCAGTCAGACTCTACCGTGGAACATATAGGAATGTTTGGATTTAAAATGGTATGATTACTAATTACCAATCTTAAGCAGGTTATTCTTGTGTATAATAATATATTAATATTCTTCCCAAAATTAAATACAGCAACAATTTTACGTGAATATTCCTATGATCAATATTTGACCATAATTAGTTGCTCAATATCTTTTAATCTTAGCCATTAAATTTAAATGGGTAAATGGTGATGATGGGATCTCATTATCCCATTTTAATTAGGTACCTCATGGAACCAAAATATATAAGGCAACCGTAATTGCCTCCATTGTCGCCCGAGATGAGGGTGAGCCAGTCCGCTGCCCCCCTTTTGTCTGGTCTAGACGAAGGGAGAGCCTCTGTCCAATCTAGGTGAAGACAGAGGCAACCTTCCATCTTCTTTTAATTGGACGAAAATGGAGGCAGTCTTGGTTGCCTTTTCTTTCTTAGGCCGGTCAACCAATATGTATGCATACAGAGACTTTCGAAGGTTCACAATCGATGGAAAAGGTAAAGGGAGGTTGCCTCTATTTTTTTAAAAAATACCTTTTAATAATAATCATTGAATAATTAAAGAAAAAATTAATTTATATACCAAATGATATTATGACATCATTTTTTATCGAAAACTTAAAAACAATAAGTAAAAAAATGCTAATTGCACAATTTTATGTGTCTAATATCTCAATTGCACATTTTTTTTTGTTCAATTGTCTAATTGTATAAAATGTAAAAGTTTTATGGGCTATTTGACATTGTTTCCTATAATTGTATGCACAAAAATAAATGAAAGAAGAAAAATTGACACAAGATTTATTATGTACTACCGTTTGCATTATAATTTTAAGACTTGCATGTACTCAAACAATCGTTACATTGTGGAATTGGATCTACCATGAGTATTGTGGACACTAGACCAAATTATATATGTATAGTTAATATATTATATACTTTCAGTTAACATATTATGTACATTTAGTTATAACTGAACCATGATCCACACAATAATTTGCCAGAAACAACAAAGTGCAATAATAGTTTAAATGTTTTCCAAATCTCCAATACAACAGCCAATGAGAAACATGTCTCCCTGAATAACAAGCAGCACAAATAAAAAATTGAATTTAAAAAAACAACAGAATAAAACATAAGTTATCTACCTCACCAAACAAAGCACAAAGTGATGCGAAAACAAAGATTATTATTATTATTATTGGTTTAAATATGGATGTTGGAAAAGATAGTGCAGCATTATTGGGTAGACCACGCCAGAATCTTAAGATCTCAAGTGCATAGAGCATACAAAGATGCTCAGTTCATGCCCTTCACAAACCCACCATCTGAGAGAGACCAATATGGTTCACCTACGTATATGCAGATATGGTCAAGAAAGAGCACATGCTTTAGCAACATCATTTTGAACAAATAAAATTTTGGCAATTAAACCATTTAAGTTCAACAACCAAGTATATAAGATAGCGGAAAGGAACAAGACCCGTTATTGCAGGAGAAAGAAGAGAATTTTAACTGACCTGCACAACTCAAAAGATCATCTAGATGCCAGTTTGCTGCATCAATTGGAGCTTTCAGTAATGATACGGAGGTTGAATCTCTGGGGGCTTCCTCCTTTCTCCTTTAGTTCCTTCTCTTTCTTTTGTTTTATCTGAAAAATGCTCTGAGCTGACTGTTCAGCACCTGAGTTGGTATGATTCAGTTCCATCTCTTGAAGACTGTCTATGTCTGCGAAGCTAGGTGGGACTTCCACGAGCATAAGGCATTGTCTAAGAATGAGAGTCTTTAGTAATGGGAAGTGGAGGTTAGAAGCCTTCAATGACTCCAAATCTGTCTCATCAATTCTCAAGAATTGGAGACGAGAAAAACCGTCTCTGGATGGCGCCCACTCATGTCCTTTGAATGCATTTTCAATCAATTTCAGAATTTCAAGCTGATCCAGTGATTCCAATACAGACAATTCGCTCCATTCAAGCTGGGTATTGGACAAGGTCAGCTTCCTAATCTTTCCTGGAAATTCAGAGAGGCATTGCAACTTCCCACCATGATTCAGCAGCTTCAATTTCTCTAACTTTTTTAATTCTCCAAGGTTTTTGAACAAACTGGACCCAGTATCCTTGTTGGTTTCAAAAAGTTTAACCAAATTTCCTTGAATAGCTAACTTATTCAAATTTGGAGCATTGGCCAATGCAGCTGCTGTGCAGCTTTCAGGTGAAATCCTCGAAAGTGTTTGCAAGTTTCTATTTACAGAAGGAAGTTTCTTGGTCTTCTTTGAGGGAGAAGGTGGAAGCAATTGAGCAGGTGAATTTGATTGTAAGTGCCTCAATTGTGTCATTTGCCATATGTCTCCTTTTATATAGAGGGTGCTCTGTGTTGTCCAAACTATAAGAGTTTGCATGTTCCACAGGCTATCAATGGCTTGAGGAAGGATGTTGAGGGTAGTTGATATTGCAATGTACCTTAAATGAAATAATTGGAATTTTGCCACATTTTTAGGAAAACGTGTCAAAATGATGTATTCACCTGGTATAGTGTGCAACACCCTTAGCAGTGGAAATGCCTTGCGAATGAGTGGAACTTTGTCTTCAGGCAGTTCATATTTATCTGAGTAGAAGCATAACAAAGAGCGGACCTTTTCAGCTGCCTGACACGTAGAGAAGAACTCTGCAACATCACACTGGACCCCAAGTCGACGACAACTTTCTAGTTGCTTGGTCTGGATCTGGTTGATATTTTCTTCAAATATATTCTCATCTTTGATCTCATTCTTGCAAAACTCATGCAACATGTTATGAACACGACAAGTTTTGGGTTGTCCATTTAGCTTTGTCTGTGTTGCCATCACTAAATTCTTATTGACAAGAATACTCAATTTTTCTTGGGCTGTCTCCTCCAAGGTTAAACCTCCTGCCTCTTCCCCAATGAAACCCTCAGCAATCCACAATCTAATGAGTTTTTCAGATGAAATCTCATATCCTTTAGGAAAAGCCCCAAAATAAAGGAAGCAACTCTTCAGGTCATAAGGCAACGGATTGTAACTTACCCGTATGAGGTCCTCATGACTATTTAATTCTGTTTTGAAGAAGTCAGTCTTGGCCTCTGCTACTTGGTCCCATGCAGCAGATGTCTTTAGTTTATCAGCCATTGTCAATATTGCCAGTGGCAATCCATCACTGTTTTTAGCAATGCTTCTCCCATGCAGCTCTTTAAACTTATCGGGACAGCTTTCCTCTCCATATACCTGCTTCTGAAGTAGTTCCCAACTTTCATCCTCAGTTAAAAATTTTAGGGTATGAGGGTTGCGCTTAGAATCGGCAAGCCTAGCCACAACGTTATCCCTGGTAGAAACCAATACCCTGCTTCCTTTGTTCTTGGGGAAAGCAGTTTTGAGTTCATTCCATTGTTCTTTTGTCCAAACATCATCAATGACAATAAAATAGTTGTTTGATCCCAAAATTCCTTTTATTTTCTCCAATATATCTTTATCAGACATGCGACCTGAATCTTGATTATTCATGTTATCAGGAAGACTCTTGGAGTTCTTGATTAACTCCGTAAAGAGTTGTAAAAAAATATTTTTTCTTGTGCAGACTTTGGAAACATAAACCCAAGCACAATTGAAGAAGTAATCTTTAACTTTTGCATCTTTGAACACTTTGTTGGCCAAAGTGGTCTTGCCAAGTCCTGGCATACCCACAATCGAGATAACTTCATGCTTTTCTGATCCGCGAATGAGACGATGGATTATAGCATTAGCCTCCTCATTAAATCCCACTACATGCTCTTCCTCCACAAGAGGAGCCTATTTCAGAAATAAAATTATATTGCCATTAATGGAATCTAACTTTAATTTGGAATTAATGTTGGGTAAAATGACACCTTTTGTTTTGAGTCAGTCATATTATATATTTTTCCAAAAAAGAAAACTTTGAGTTAACGAATACCTACCTCACTCGGCTTGTCTTCTGTGTTGGCTAACGCTTCACCTCGGAGAACATTCTTATAAACCTGATCATCTTGGATCGTTTTAATGGTGCTAAGAACCGTCTGAATATCTTTGGCCACTCTCAGTTTTCGACCCTGGTGTTTGAAATCCAGACACCGTACCGATTTCTTGAGGTAGTGGGATTTGGCGGCCACCACATATTTGTCCACAAGATCCTCTGCCTCGTTGACCACTTTCCGGATCTTGATAATGAGGCGCTTAATGATCTCGTTTTCGTAGCGGACCTTTGCGACTTGGCTGAGGAAGGCCTTGAAGTCGCCCAGGTCTACTAGAAGCTTA